GGCTAAACCGGTGCATGAGTGGAGATAGTCCTTTGGGCGCTTCTCCTCCTCGTTCAACTTTCTTTGCCGGTGGTCTTGCTTCCCTCCTACGATGTCCAATGATAGACTCTCACTCTTCTTCAAAAAGAAGAAAAGACATCTCCTGTTTCTGCAAAAGTGCAGTCGCTCCTCTGCACTCGTGGGAATTGCCTGTGCTGATTCGTGTCGCCGTCGATGAGGAGGCTATTTCTGCGTTGATGGGGTGCAGCTCATCAGACATCCCCTTCATGTCAGCTCAAGTGGGCGTTCAGATTTCAATTTGTCTCCACGCACAATCGCCTGAGACAAATGACACGGCATAGCTGCATATCCCGATGGTCGCATTCGTTTTCGCCCCGTTTGATGAATATCCTTACATGGGAACACAAAGAGAGACCCAAATGACGGAGCGTTCGTTTGCGTTTTGGTTTTCCCTCAACAAGAGAGAATGGCTGTACAGAATCCTACGCAGTAAGTACGTACATCCGATGTTTCCGGAAAATTGAACAAGATAAATGGGCGACATTTCAATTGTTTCTTTCGGAGCTTTTTGATAGCGACTGGGGAATGGACTTGTCTGGAGATTGAGATTCTAACCATAAGTCTGAATCCTACACTGACTAGATTGGAAGAGAGTCAAAAGGACATTTCCAGGGTTCAGGTACTTCTGAGCCTTGGACTCCATGCCAACTGCCTGGTTTCCACACCTTCCTCCAAAGTGTCAGTCTTTTTTCCGCGAGCTGCAACCAACGTAGAGATTTACCTCTCCAAAAAGTCTCCAGCTCCAACCCAGTCAAGTTAGAAAAGAAGGAATACTTGGGAATTGAAAATCACTACAAAATGCTGATAGTGCTCCTGGTCCGTGACCTCACATGAAGCTTTTCGCTTTTCAATCCCGGGACTTAATAGCGAGATAGGTCAGGTGACTCATACACCTCAGGTCCTCTGACGTACCCTGACCGAACCTGGACACTCTTGTAAGAAGTCTTCCCCTGATCCTATCGACATGGCCTGGCAATGTTGCCAAATCTTCGGTATGTAGGCACTGAAGTTGGCTCCCCCTTTTTGCAGTGGAGCCTCTGTACAATATCTCAAGTGAACAATACTGGGGCGAAAACAGCTCCTACCGATGGGCTGATTCGGTAATCGCACTTGAGGAACGCCTCTCCGAGGAATTCTGTGATTTATGCATTTTGTAGAGCCCTATCCGGTCTGATAATGATGCCATAATTGCGGCTTTGTCTTTGACCAACCATGCGCTAAGCACCACAGTGGCCACCTGCCCCAGTCCATCTCAACTGTATACAGGTAGTCATTTGGATGGCGCAATGCCTAAAGACGACCCGACTGACGAGGCCCGTTGTGTATAGAACAGACATCCATTAACACGAGCACAACTCCGTAACGCGCATTCCTTAGAATTATCTGAGGAGACAGGGACCAGGTGTATGTAACTGTCCACGGGAGGGGCATTCTCTATACTAGAAAGGAAGGAGTTGTCGCCCGGGAAGCTAGAGTATACAATTTAGGCAGCAATCTTCTGAGGGCGCTCGAAGTACTCGTTGTCGTAGAACTGGGATCCCCATGTAGGTAAGGGCTTCTGCTAGGCCCAAATGAGGGAGTTCATATCTCAGGGGTTGGTGGACCAATTCGAAGAGCGGTACTTCTATTTGACTGACATTATGCTCACTTTGTAGGGGATTGAACGCCCTCTTGAGGTTATTAGCGCAAACAGAGCACAGGCAGACTTGTTCCCACATGAACAGCTCATGGAAAATACTCTTTGGGATGTTCCACACATGGTACACTTCCTACGATAAAGTTCCAGAATACCGAGCCATAAAATGAAGTTTTTCTAGTCATAAATAAAATTGCTCTGCCATCTGAGGCATTGACACTAAAAGCCTTTTTGATGAAGCGTAATCGGAAAAAAATGCGAAAAAAATATGCAAAGCTGAAGAACGTGTAGGAGCATTACTAAAGGGAGGAAGTCGCTACGGAAACCATTAAATAAATTGATTTTTTCAACCTGAATTATGCGCCATGATGTTCAAGATTTCATTAGAATTTTCTGCGCGTTGTATGGCCACCGTTGAGATATGCTGGATGGGCACAATCACATGAGGGGAATGAACAAAATCCGACACCACGCCCCGAACTTTAGTCATCTGACATCTCCTCTTCCCTACAATAGTTACCACCGTGTCAAATTTTTTCGAAAATTCAGCAGTCGAGCGAGGAGGGGAGGGGGTATGGAGCTATTACACGGAGCGTGTAAAAGTGAGAAAATCAGAGATCAGTTTGTTAACAGAAGAATTTTCTTGTGGTGAAAAAGGATCCTCCCTCTGTTTAGCAAAAGGAACGATGATCTCTTATGTCCTAGTGATGCGCTAAAATAGATCAATAAATGAGCAAACTAATTAGTGGTACCTGCGACAGGCTTGAATAAGGTTCTAGAACCTTTTTTCAGGAGATAACTCAGGGGACCTCACAGATCACTCAACCTTTCGAATTGTCATTTCAGTCTCAAAAAATCTCAGAATCTCCGAAACTTTCAATAATCATCTTTCCATCATCCTCATCTCCCATATATACGCTTGAAAGAGCCATTACTTTCAGACTTGGAATACCTGTCGTTGGCGAACAACTCCCTTACGCACGTCACAGCTGAAGCTTTTTCGGCTTTGCCTCACCTGAGGCATCTGGACCTCTCCAACAACAATCTTCTGTCACTACCGAAGAACGTCTTCAATAAATTAAAGAACCTAGAGGTCAGTGCCTTCTTCAAACCACTTAATGACCTCTGAACAAAAGCTGACAAAATCAAAATTTATGCATAGTGCTGTCAGTCAACGTTGTTCGCTGTTGACAGTTCCAGTAGTTGTGGTGATGTGTCGATTAATAATTAAGCCATCTGTCTAGACCTTCGTGTTCGAGCAATTGGTTTACAATGTGCTCGGGTCGCGCTTGAATAGACCAACCAAGGGTGGCTAATCCACCCTACAAGCAAACCCAACTAATAATAAACCATAATTTGGACTCAATAACAATTTTCAGACGCTGACTCTATCGAACAATGAGCTCCAACTATCTCCAGACACCTTTGCGGGATTGGCAGCTCTACAACGGCTCGACCTCACTTCAAACCGATTGGCTTATCTGCCACCATCGGTTTTCCGAAACTTGAAGTCATTGAAGATTCTTGATCTGTCTAATAATAAGCTGTTGGCACTACCAGCTTCACTGCTCTCTACAGTACCACAGTTGAGGCATCTCGACGCCGGTCACAATCTGCTTTCTGATGTGAGTTTCTTATAAATTCTACCGTTTTTCGCATTATTGCACAAAAATGATTCACCCAAAAACCTGATCAGATTATTGAGTAGTTAATTAGCAAGGGGCCTTTACTCATACTCTAATAAAAAAAGACAGAAGCAGAATTTCTTCTGCAAGCTAGGGAACAACAATTACAGTTCTGTCCGCTGCGGAAGCTGGGGCGTTTCAATGGGGTTGGTTCGGCCTGTTCTGAGCCTGTTCTCCATTTAGAAGCTGGCAGACGACTAAGGTATGTAGAGAACAGGCTTGAGTTGCGCCAAACACACCCTCCTGGAACGCCCCAGTGTCCGCAGCGAACAAGACTGTAGTTCCACATGACTGTAGATCCACCGCCAGGTTTACCCTGGGAGGATTTTCGACCAATCATGCGTACACGAGTGCCATCTTCAATCTAGATCGCTGAACTTTTTGAAGGAGTCAGTTCGAATTAAAAAATGTGAAAAGGAATCGTGCGGCAAAGTGCAAAGCGCGAGGTGCACCAGAGAGAAGTGGACTTGTCAAGATACTACCTTTGAAGAGAGATGACGCATTTCTCGTAAGAAGTTCCTCTGTTGACGGCATGCGCTCACCTCCTGCGAAGAGAGGCAGTGTGAGGGGCACAGAATCATGCGGCAGATCGTAAACTCTTTCCTGTGACTGTGGAGCGTTTCATCAAGAGTATTGCATTCTTGGGGATGTTCAATCGATGATAGGAAACTGCATTAGGAATTTTCTCTAAGAGGTAACTATGTCCCCCTCACTCCATCCAACTGAACTATGATGAGTGCACGACAGTTTGCGTGTGCAACGCGAACGTGTTCCGTTTGTTTAAAGGCTCACTTCTCGACTAGCGAAGTTCAATCCCTATTTTCAGTTAGGTGCCCTGAGTCCGCAACCGTGAGAGAGGTGCCTTTTGCGGCTCGAATACGCGCACAGAGCGGAATCTAAGCTTTTTGCCCGGGCTTCTGGTCCCATGCTCATGCAGTGATCACGATCAACTGCAATGACGAGGCTCTTACTGAAACGAGTCTTGACGTTGTTTTTTGGCTTCTTCCTCTCCACTAGCTCAGCTTGCACCCACACCGTTGTTTCTAAATCTACTAGCTACGAACAACAATCGGGCAATGAGTGCTGAAACTGCTCCCCAAATAATCTACAATACATATATGGATCTTAGGGAGAGGTGTTGTAGCGGCAAGTAGCGCGCACACCTTGCACATGGCCCGGGAACTGGATCTCGGATCGGCTCCCACCCGGGCCAAAAGAGCCTTCCATTCCTCCAAGGCCGATAAAGTGGTGTCTGACTCGTTTGTGAGGACTAAACACTGAATTGTACCCCACTAGACATCTTATATGTAGGTAGTACTCCATCCCAGGAACGGAATTATCAGCGGCGAAAGTTCATCCTTTTTAGCTTTATGCGGTTTTTTCACGTAGCCTTCGAGTGCTGTCCCTGAACTCAACCGTGAAATTCTGATCGAAACTTCTGCAGTTCCCGCTAAGTCAAGATTCTTCCCAAGCGAGGCGGCGACGAGCCACCATTACTCAAATTTCCATTTTTTCTCGGGAGAAATGGAAATTTCCCAGGAGACATAACTCGCTCAAATGTCTCCTAGACAGAATAAATGAACCGTGTTGGGATTCGAACCATCTGACCCCTACATGACGAAGAGCCTATCTGTTTTATTTTTTTTACTTGTGCACCCGACACACACGCCAAGACAGCGACCAAGGGGCGAAGAAATGTCACATGCAAAAGGCACATGAACCTGTCTGATGTTTCGCAGGAGAAAATCTCCGCAGTTGAAATATTTCACATTGACCTTTAGCGTTCATGTAGTACCTCCAATGACGCTAAAACAAAGACCGATTTGCAATTTTCAAACGGAACAGATGCACTTAGCGGGCCTGATTGATGAGTGTCGATCGATAATTACTGTAGGATCATGAGCAGACGGTATAGGGGATTTATCGCCACGGTGACAATAGCGGCTATCCAAGCCGAATGGCGTTTAAGCGC